AACGACGTTTAGCTGCACAAAATCTTAAATTACTTTAAGTTCCACAATTTATATTGGAACTGGACAATTAACAAACTGGGAAACATAAAGCTGGACAATTAATAAAATTTCTACTAAAGGTTTTGTCGGAGGCCAATATTTTGTTATCTCGGACAGACACAAGTTATTGTATGCTAACCTGTTAATAGCCTCAACTCTATTCATATATGGATGTTGTCGTAAGAACAAGTCATCTGTTTAATTTAGTGGTAAACAGTATTGTTGTACGAACACCGTTTAATTCAACCTATATATATATATTAATACTTCGTAATCTTATAAAATAAAACTCTAAAATTATTAGATTTAATTTTCAAATTATCAAAATAATATGGTATACTAATATTCAACAAACAAGCATACCAAAATGCTTTAACATAAATACTATTCATAATCACACTTGATAGTTCATTTCACAGCTTTATCTCTCTCTCTCTTATCCTCATCTCCCAGTGGAGCATAGGGTCTCCTTTATAGTTTTATAGTTAAACCAAATCAAAAATGTGATTTTTAATCCTAAATAATATTACGTATATAAAAATCGAGTGTTAGATTTAAAAATTCAATTTTCTTTAATAACTGTAAGTATTTATAATTCCATTAAATTTCACTACATATATTCATAGTCTTATTATAAAGACTCGTATGTCACAACCTTCAACATGTACAAAGTACATATTAAAATATTATTCCGTTTATTCACTCTACTTATGGCTCTTATTTTGGATTTTTTAAGATAAAAGATTTCGAAAGGCTTTTCAATTTTATTAAAATAAATCCTACATTTGCAAAAGTTTCACATAAAAAATCCAAAAATAATACAAACCCGCAAGGTTACTAAAATAGGGAAAATATTTTTATATAACTAGGAAGCTTATTAAGTAATCCTTAAGCTAAGCAACCGCAGCTCCGGTATGTTCTGTGGCCTAACCAGATTTTCTATAGTTACATTTCATAACCTAATAAAATATATCAAAATATATGCTATTCCGCTTGCCTGAGAGTGTGTGTCTATTCGTTACTTTGCATCCATTATTTCACTTGTCTATGGTACTCGTACTCGTATAGCAAAAGGACACAAATTTTATTGAAAATATGAAAACTAAATAAAAAGGAGCAAATAAAAAAAATCGCTTCAATGGCACAATTTCATTTCATTTTTATTTGCTCTACTTTCAAAAAAGTATGAAATTATATGTACCCAGTATTTACAGCAAATACGTGCATTCCACATAACACAGCAGATGCACACAAACCAACAGGCGAACCAATGCGTACGGATACTGAGCTCCATGACCTGCGGCGTATGGCTTGTCCTTATAATCCAGTTGTATATCCTGTGCATGCTGACAAAGTATATTAAAGAAGTGCTGCACACTCGTTTATATTGCGAAAAAAAACTATTATAAAAAGGAATCCGTCGAATGAAATGATCACCTCAGTATTTGATTGTTATGGAATTCTGCATACGCGTATATGTGTGCGAATGTTGACAAGTAGAAAGGTATATTTGTACCTAACAGGGTACAGGGTATTTCAGGTGAGTGAAATACTTAAAAAATCATTAGAAAATGTGACAGAAGTTAATATATGTTCAGATTTTAATACCTTACTAGAACAGAATATTAACATTCACATAGTAGATATTTACTTAGCAATTAGTAAGGTTTGGCTCATAAATATAATTGATATAGCATCACTCTGATTAAATCTCAAGTTTGAGAATATGAATATACAACATAAACTTTGTGACACATATGAGGTAGCAGTCTTGCCATACGAGAGCATTTGAAGAAATATTTAATAATTTGGAGAAATTCCCTACAGATAGATGTACGTTTGATTAATACTGAGGCCAAATAACAAGTTTGAGAATATGAGTATACAATATAAACTTTGTAAGGCACATGGGGTAAAACCTTCCAATAAAAGAGCGTTCAAAAAAATATTCAATAATTTGGAGAAATCCACTACCGATATGTGTTCGATCAATAAAAAGATCAAATGCCAAGTTTGAGAGTTTGGATATTCAGTACAAGTATTGTGAGGCATGTGAAGTATAACCTTCCAATAAAAGGGCGTTCAAAAAAATTTTCACTACAAATATGGGGGTTGAACCAATAGCAAGTTTATGTTTTATATCGTGCTAATATATATTGTGAGTCTCGGGAATAGCGCACCTTTCATCAAGTGACCCCCCTAAAGTGGAGGACTAGCGGAAATAAACCACGAAATGACTTGCGTCCTTTTTCGGCCTTCGATTCTCGGACGTCGTTATTCAGTTGTAACTAAAGTGGCCTCCATTCTAATAACTACATCTCTTGTTATTTCAAGCAGCTCATTTAGTATTTTATATCTTGTCAATGTGTCAGATAATATTACAGAGATTAGCAAACAAACCTTTTTATTTGTTGGTCTAAGATAATGCTTTTTTCTGCCCCCTCTTTCACCTGATATGCATTCTAGCAACATTCTTCTTGAAAAACTTCCTACCTATCCTACCCCACTTTCTCGCTATGCCTATCTAAAAAGATGAGTAATATAAACATGAACTAATTTCCAATATATTACACTTATAGATATATACATATATATAGATATATCTTATAGATTTTGTATATGTATTTATTGTATTTATTAATAGAATGTATATTACATTTTGGTAGTAACAGTTAACCGCCTTAAAGTGCAATTTCATATATAATTCATAGAATTTTTTTTACTTTATACAATTGACCTATAACTACTCTTAAGTGCTATAAGTTTAAGCTTTTTTCAGTTAAAAAAGAGAGCATTATATGTATTATTGTTTTTTTATTATTTTTCAATGTTTGCATAGCAAATTTCTGAATTGAGATATAGCATTATTGAACCATTAACCTATGAATTGTTATCAGTGCTGAAAAATAAACCTAAACCAGTAATTTATTGAAAGTCTTATTTTATCAGAAAATCGAATATTCACCTTTATGTAGCGCTCCATTAACAAACTTTTTTCTTTGAAATTCTGTTCCTGATCCTAAATAATAGAAAATTATTTCATAGATGTCATATTAGAGTATGTTTCGACTATAATAGTATTTCTGTTTAAAGTGCAAGTGAAACGACACCGACTTAGTTTAAACTCTAAGAGTCCTCCTTCTCTTATCTGCTTACCGACATATTTAATGGTATATGATAAATGATAAAGTTATTATGTTATGATAAAAAGTTATTAATGGGTACTATCGAATCTATAGAAAACCGGACTTTATCATAATAGCGTAGTTTATTATGATCTGATCTTTATTCAATCCTAGAAACAATTATTTAAAAACACTATCTTTTACAAGCTCCTCCGTAAGAAGTTTCTCCAACACTATGCGTAATCCGAAAGAAACACCTATATACTACATAAAAAAATTGATAATTATTAGATCAGTTATGTGATATGTAAAAGCAAAAGTGATATAGTACAATATAGCAAACGACTTATTCGTTAAGACTGATCGGCTAAGACGATATATGTTGAACTTATGGTAGCTATGATAACGAAAACTTAGTTTACTAAATGTTTACATATTTAGATAAAGGTAATGGTATATACATGCATATGATCTACTATAATGTAGAGCCTTTTCCGAATTAGTGTATCTGGGCTCTTTTACTCTTTGATAGCTGGGGGGGTTTTTGTAAACTTCCACCCATCTCACTAACTAATTTGTGTATTCCTCATAAGCTTCGTGATTATTCAATAACTGAATTAAAATCTGCGTACCGCCTCGTACGGTTAATTACTCTGAAATGAGATAGCGCTAAGTAGGGCAGCATGTCGGTTTTCGCATATAACTTCAGAGCTCTGTCCCTTATATATTTTTTGATCGAGTCTATTCTAAGGGCTCTTAGCATGTCGTTTGTACGGATGTACCAAGGCACTTTGAAGATTCTTCGGAGAGCCTGACTTTGAGGAACTTGTAGCTTCTTGATAGTAGAGTCAACAGTTTTGCTATACGCGACACAGCCATAAAGTAGTGCTAGTCTAATTATCTAGTTGTAGATCAGGTATCTGTTCTTCGCACCAAGGCAACTAAAATATATATAAATTCTATTCTCTCTAAGCCGAGATATATAAAATAACATCATTTCCAAATAAGCAAAGGACATTTGCATTCATATATGTTTAAAAAATTAAGTTTTTCAACTTATTTTGTTCAATAATTAAAGACTTTAACCCGGAATATGTCATTGACACCATGTATTTTCACAACGTAATGCAATTTCGTTAACCTTTATTGGTCCTAGTAATGATTCAGCTTTATCCGTTGTACCATGCAACTGCAAAAATTTCAACTGCGTTATGCAATTTTCGAAGATTTTTTCAGCATTCTGGAAAAGTTTTGCAGTGTCATTCGTTTTCCAATTCAGCCGAAAAAAATTTTCAGTTTTAATAATTGTCTGAAGTGAAAAAAGCAGAATTTACCTGGTTGTTTGTTATCCTCGTACACCAGTCACACAAGTGCTCTAATCCGAACCAAATATTTTAGATTTTTTTTTTATAAAAATGCGAGGGAAAATTGTTACTGCAACCACGGTATTTCCCTCAAGATAAATTGGTATTGTTTAGAAAGTATTGGCAATATGCCAGACTGGACCGTAAAAGTTGTGGAGCAATAAACCAACGTACACTTGGATGAGATCTTATTTAAATATATGTCAGCAGCGAAGACGGCATGATTTGAAAATGGTATTTCTGTAATATGCGGTGAAAAATGTAACTCTTAACCGCAATAAGCTTTAAGAAACTTACAAATTTATTTATGATATTAATTTTTTTGTTATATAAGAAATTTATATAATATAGCAATTTTTACGGCAATAAAAATTTTTATAGCCTTCACACCTTATTAATATACTCGTACTAGAAAGAAGATAACTGCTTTGATTTATAAATATGTTTAACGATTTTATTCCTCTTCTTACAGCTTCCGCATTAATCGCATTGAATCACCGATACTGAAATACGATGGCGACTGTGGCGAATCGTTGACAATTTATGATTCTGATCATCCCGATCCAGCGCGTATAATAAAAACATTTTGTGACACCTTCTCACGCCCCATGGAAAAAGTTGACTTTGTTTCAACAAGTCCTTCACTTTACGTACAATTCGAATCCAAGACGGGCTCTTACAGTGGCAGTTCACTTTATTATTGGGCGCACTATGACTTCTTCAACAATACACGTTTTGGCGATCCTGTACCTAACACACTTTGCGATGAAGTCATGTATGCTTGGAAGCATCCTGGTGGTAAAATACGCTCACCTATGAATTCATTGATATTTAAACGTACTGGTGGCTCAGATGTGCGTTGTCAATATAAATTTGTTACCGATCGTCGTCTATACGCACGTGCCATTATTGAAGTCTCTTCGGTATCATTTAAAGAATTGCCTTACAACAATAACGCTTGTACACGCTGCCATGAAGAACGTGTTGATAAATTGGTCATATGGGAAGAGCGTGATAAATTTCAAAATAATTTAGCTTGCTTCTGCGACAATATACCACGTACGGTACGTGTAATATCATCCGCTGAACAAATGAATCTCGAAATGATCGTACAAGGCCAACATGCAATAACTTCTTACTTTAAAAATCCCAATCCACTTTTCGAGGCGTCGTATGAATTTGCGCATGGACCGCTCTGTGGCCCTATAACATTAGGACCCGCACCAGATGGTGAACTAGTATTTCCATTGAAAAAAGCTTTGGCCATGGTAACTGGTCCAATGGCGCCAGCTGAACATCATTACCGTCGCGAAAAGTGTATTTGGGAATTGAAAGTGGCAGCACAGCGCGATATTTGGTTACATTTGGAGAAGGCACGTTTTGGTGATCGTACATGTGAGAGCGCTAAAATTGAAGTCTATTTAGCTGGACGCTTAGAACCACGTTTTATTGTTTGTCCTGAAAATATATCATTAGCACGTGATTTACCTATACTCTCAGTATCAGATTTAGGTGCATTAGAAGCTGATTCAGAACCACTGCCAGTTTTAATACAATATACGGGTGACGGTCAACCTGGTAAAAATGCTTTCCGTTTAGTATGGACCGAGCTGTTCCATTTACCGCGAAATCCCGACGGTAGTCTAGCCTCGTCACTGTTGCAAGATGCTGGCTGTGATTTTAGATGTCCTGGCAACACAGACGTCTGTATACCGCGGCATTTACTTTGCAACGGCATTGAGAATTGTCCGAATGTGACGCACTCATCAACGATGGCTCAACTAACGCGACACATTGAGTGGAATTTGGAACAGCTCGGCCTGCTGAAACATGCGAAACACTATAAAGAAATGGTGTTGCATGATGAATCGCCAGAAATTTGTCTAAAACGGGAATTAACAGAGCTGCCATATTTTAAAATTTTACTTATAACAATTGGTTTAAGTTTAATGATGACTTTATTTGTAGCGATTCTCTGTCGCATGTGTAGAGGGACAGATTATAATAAGCGAAGCAGATTCTAAATAGAGTGTGAGGGAGTTATTTTTGTAGTTGGGGAAAAATATCTCGTTGCAAATTGTGTTGAAAAAAAAAAATTGTGAAAAAAATTTAATTAAATGGTAGATTCATAAGCTGTACGAAGGTTTAATGTATAACAAAAACCAAAATATATTAAATAGGATTTTTTTTTATTAGTTTTTAAGATTTAAGTTAAAGTTCATTGAAAGAATGTCTTGGAAAATCTTAAAAATTCTGAAAAACATTATAATTTAATGATTATTATTTATTAATTAATACTTACTTTCAACTGACTATTACTAACTTTATAACAGAAGTGTTTTATATAAGTAGGACACAGTCAAGATGCTTAAAAGTACTTTCATCTCTTAAAAACTCTTACTATTTCTGCTATTTTTCTAACAGTTCATTTTAGATTTATGTAGGAGGACATTAACCCTTCTGTGTAGGTTTTATGCAGAAAAGGGTATACTTAGTTATTTCAAACGTTGTCCTATCTTATCAAATAATTAATTGATGTGCAGTACATAATTCTTTGTCAGTGGTTTTATATATATTATAAATCATATCTATATATAATTTATACTATGTACTTTATATTATATGCTAAATTCATTATATATGCATATTATATAGTTTATGTATTATGTGGTAGCATATATACATTAAATCATATTTAATTTTATGAACTCTAGTATTTGGCGTAGTGGCGTCAAAAAACAATACTTTCTTACTCTCAATAGACAATAGATATCTTATCCTCTTTTGCAATGTCCAGAGAAATATTGGTTTTTTTTTTTAATTTAAATCAAGCTATCTTTACTAGCAAGTAACGTGAATGAATCTAATATTTTAATAAAATTTTTCCAAGTCATTCTAATTAATCCTCTTAAATTCTTTTAATTCCATGATTTTTAAATGCCAATTTTTCAATAATTTTATTGTTTTAATATTATGAAAATTGTTTATATATTATTAAAAAAAAAATCTAATTATGTATTTAAGTAAATTTTAGTCATGTCACGTGACTGAAAATTAAAAAAATTATTATTAATTTTAATAAAACTCCAATAATGAAAATTTAAACTGCCCCCTTTGCTATTCCAGTCGGAAGGCTAATTAATCTTTTTGATAATGTCACGTGGAAATAAAAATAATTTAATTTAGTGAAAAAATTATGAAAATAAAATATTGTGGTTTAAGTACAATGTCACATAATTAGGATGAAAATAATATTAGGATGAAAATAGTGAAAGTATGCGAATATAAAATGTTTTTATAGCACAAAAATTAATTTTTGATTTTTATTTGAGATTAGAAAAAAAAATATTCCAATTTGCGTTATTAAAATTGCAACACAAAAATGTGCAGAAACAAAAAAAAATGTAATAAATTAAAAATAAATAAAATAATATATATCAATAATAAGATTTATTGAAATGAAATTTAAAAAATTATACGAAATAATAATAATTCAGCAAATAATTGAACAAAAATATTTACACGAAATAAAAATGCAAAAGGCAAAAAATTGTAAAAATCAAGTACAGTAGAAATTAAGATAAGCGATTATGTTGAAATAATCATAAGTGAGAAAAAATTATTATTGAAATGTAATTAAGTACATTATTTTAGAATAAAGCAATTAGTAATTAATAAAAAAAAAATAATTTATTTTTTATTTTTTATAACATAAATTTCAAATTATGCGCACAAAGGTAAGTTAGCACATGATAATTTGATAAGCAATTTGAAATAAAATTAAAAAAAAAATGGAAACATTATAATTATCTCTGTGATATATGTATACACACATATTAGCGAGAGCGAGATGACACACAGTATTTTAGCTATATTGTTGCTCTGTATTTACAGTGAAAAAATTCTGAGGATTAATGTGGAACGTCAAACGTAAAAACGTAAAATACAGGGTCAGAAGAGTTAATGAAGAGATAATTGAGAACCGTAAAATCTAGAAATACCTAACAAGTACCCTTGCTCCGGAGTTGCAAAAATCAAAACACGAAAATCTATTCTTTCTTATGTTATGAGATTAAGACTTCACTTGACATGCACACATGTTTGTTAATACCTACATTAGGCACCAAAGAGCTGAATAATAGCGTTGAAAACATGCGTAACAGGAGCAGAAAAGTTAACAAAGACACAACTTAGGGCTACGTAACCTGAAAATACAACATAAGAAGAGTCGACCCAAAGTTGAATCAAACTAAAAAAAAAATTAAAACACGACAATATGCTCTTTCAACTTCTCAATACTCTATCATTGAGGAACTCTATTACTCTTATGTGGGGTAATATAGGGACCGGGATATGAGAGGTATGAGGTTAACGAAAAACAGAATCTCTGACAAAGAAGGGTGCATTTCATCCTTTTATTGGTCCAGAGCCCTTTTGCGGGGTGACAAATAGCTTTACAAATAATTTAATATGTAAACGGGAGAAACAAACTCTATTTAAAGACTGGTGAGCCTAAATAGGCACGCGTTAGTTAAAAGATTTATGGATACTGAATACATAAAAGTTGACACTATGCTTAACTTTAGCAGAAACGATAACAAACTCTTTACTGAACTACTTACAGGAAACTGTAGACTTAATTATAACTTCAAAAATAATTGTGTGGTAGAAAGTGATTCCTGTCGATTCCGCTATGAAAAGAAGTTAACATCAGTACTTGTCCCAATTAGCCCATTAGCGGTAAAACATAGAATTGCTACTTTGGATCCTTGTTCCAAATCATATTGATTATGTTAATGCTCACAGCAATTATAAGATTCATAAATAGTCTATACTTGTTTTAGTTGGGTTTTTAGGCACACTATAGATGTTATAGATCGCTGTGCATTCATAGCCTATTATTATAATAATAATATTAGAATGTTTATATTAGTGTCGACGTCACTACTTATGTATTTTATATTTTTCCGGGCTTTAGGTAGTGTTTTTAAATTTTTATTCATATATAATAACTTGTTTTATATAAAAAACAAACTTAAGACTAAATAAAAATATCACAGTTGTTAACTTCTGTAAAATTTAAAAAAAAAAAAATGATAATAATGTTTACATCTCAGGTTAATAATAAATTAAAGTGCAATTTAACAACATACGATTTGTTTTAGCACTATTTTTTGTAGAAAATCTCTTTTTTAAAAACATAAAAAATTAAGTTATGTCCATCTCAGCATTGCCATTTGTACCTGCTACAGATGTAGGTACTATGTATCAAAATTTTTCTCATTTATTTTTGAACTGTGTATTTCAGAAAAACGTAGTATATTTCGTTTTCTATAGGTACTTCTATGAACAGAAGTATTTCCTAAACCTTTACTTGCTGCAATCAGTTTAAAAATTTTTAATTAATTTTAAAACATTTTAGAAAATGAAATAAAGTAGAAATAAAAAATGTAAAACTTAACAGTGATTAAAATTACAAACTTTATTGTAATATATGTAAGCCATGGACTTGCTTTTAACTAATGAAAATGTGAGTTAAAAATTATTTTAATTCCCACAATATTTTTAAGTTTTTTTTTTGTTTTTTGGTTTTTTTTTTGTAAGCACTTCATATTTCAGAAATATTTTATATATATAACTTTTTTTTCATTTTTTATTTTTATTTTTATTTTTATTTTTATTTTACAGTAGATTTCATATGTGTGTCCGACAAGTGACAAATTTCACATTTCCGCCATTTTGTTATAATATATTTCATATTTCACGCACACATTCACACAGAAATACTGCAATAAAAAGGATATGTGGCACAAAATGGCAACATGGCGTCAGTCGCATGATTTGGATCCTGCGAAATACAATCAAACAAAAACGTAAATATTTTTAGTTTTTAATAAATGAATTTCAACTAAAATAAAAATTTATTCAGAAACACATCAGCAAATCCCACAAACTCAAGCACGTATGGAAGCGCCTCATCAGAAGCGGAACCGAGTTGAATTGAGCGCATTTAACGCCGAATGACCTTAGATCTTGTTTTAAAATTTATATATGTTTTCCTTTCTTTTTTTATTAAAGTTTTCCAGTTTTTAAGTTTTTTAGTTTTTTATTTTTTTGGTTTTTTTTTTTTAGTTATAAGTTTTAAATGTAATTTTCCTTAATGTTATTATCGTTTTAACCAACCAAATAAAACTGTGTCAAGTAATTTTCTACCCAATTGCATTGCATATTTTTTAAACATTTCCTCCTCCTGCCCCCGCAGTGGCAGTTCACATAAATATAAATTGTATTGTTTCGGAAAGTTTCTTCAAGGGAAAATTGCGAACTTTGTTTGCGGTTAGTTTTTATGTTTTTAATCTTTTTGTTGGGAAATATTTTTCTCAACAACTTAAGTTGCTTTTAGTCCTCACGAAGTTGTTGAAAGTAAATTTTTATACTCGCGGTTAGGTTCGTAAATATATGGCACGCTTACATGAAGGTGTATAGCTACAGTCAGTTATAAGAATCCATGGAACTATTTACTCTTTAGAAACACTGGAAGAATTCATATAAGGTATAACATAATGAATGGTTACAGACTCCTCGGAGAGGTATGTAGATTTGAGGTCAATTATTGCTTAGTCGGATGAAGTGATAAACAATAATCCAGTCAAGGCGTAAAGAGGGGTTTTGAAAATACCACGAGTTAAGAACGGCTCAAAGAGCTTCAACGTAATTAAAGCAAACGTATATATAAAGTTAGTAAGTTATCAATGTAGAACGTTTAGTCTATGCAGTTCTTCATTTGAACTAAATTTCTTTTCTTAGAATGCATATCTTTGATGAAAGGTATAAAAACCCAGTAATCACTACTAAGCGTCATATTTGTAAAGTACAGTAGGTGATAAAGCTACACAAACCGTAATTTAATTAATTCAGCCATCGTCGTATCAGCAGTCGTTAGCAGAGGTCGCTAAAGTGAAGTATGTTGGGTGGGGAAGCTTTTCGAAAAATATTGCAATCAATTTAACTGTTGTTTCATCAGTTTGTGATGGTATTGTCTTGCTGTTGTTGGCCAATTCCTGCATGTGAGAATATATCGTCTTAATTGCTCTACTCAATTGAACTAATAACGCCATATAATATTCGATATTTATAAATTAATTCATTGATATATAAATTTTATGTGATTTAAAATGGAATACCTTAACCTTGCCAGCTGACTTTTGAAGATTTTGTGGCTTTGAACAACTTTCAACAGATGCTATACACTTAGCTAACTATATTTTTTATGCAGGTGTATAGTATATCTCATATTCATGTCTTATCAATTAACTAATTATTTTTATCACCTACTCAACAACAAGATATCAGCCAGAAAACTTCCTAATACAATAATAATGGGTGCCTCTGTCAATGTCCAAAACAGAAGAAGAAAGTTTGTAATTTCTAATATTCAATTCCAATTCTCCTGCACATCTACCTGACATGGTCTCTATGTTATTTTACATAACATTCTATGCCCTTAAGGTCTAACACTACGGTGTTCAAAAACACAATGTATTGATACAAGGCGTCAATCAACACTCCATTGGAATCTCTTTAGTAATTCCGTCGATACCAAATGAAGAGATGCATGCATGAAATAACTTTCATTTTGGTACGATGTGAGGCTCATCTAAATCCCTGCTACAATATTGGTTGTAGCACCCAATGGTGAATACGCAACTCCACGCCGAATGGAATCATTTAACTGAACATTCTTTCCGCGTGAATTTGGGTGTTAACCACAGCTACTACGAGTCCATCCTCAACTGGTCAGCACAGCCGAAGTAGGGTCACTGACCACCGTAGTACCAGATCTGCACCTTTGGTCAGATGTCGCAAGTGGGGAGATCAATAACTACCATGCACACTTCTCACACAATTGCCGGATTGTCATCGGGATTTTAATCGCCTCTTACGACATGCCTTACCTCGGGAATATTCTAACCCCTTCACCGCAGGGGGAACACCTACCTGAAAGATTTTGAACAGCTTTTTTTAAACCTCGTTGTTTATTTACATATCTAAGTTTTCGAGATATCAGCCCTTAAACAAAACCGGATATCATTTATAAGATAGTTTCATTTGCAGTTTTTACACAACACATAATTTCGCAATTATTAAGTTAAAATATAATATTTTCATTTTTTCACAGAAAACTATCGCATAATTCTGTTAAATTCCTTTAATTTTATCTATGAAATTTATTTTCATCTTAAACCTTTGCAATATTTTATTTTTAAACCTTTGCAAGTACAATTTTATACCTTAACCATTAAAAAGGTCAAGTAGTTAACTTCTGTTTTAAAGCTCCGGTTTATTGTTGTTATCCATTTTTATGAAATATGGTAAGCAATCCTTAAATCTGTGGGATATAGAAACTAAAAGAAAAAATAATGAATATAAATAAATAAACAACTTTAAAACATTCCGAAACAATAAATCATTTCAATAGTTGGCAAAGTACTTTGCCCTGGTTGCACCAGGCTCCGTTGGTAAGGTGAAAATTGCTTGAAGCTCGTTGCATCAATTATTTCACAAAGTGTGCACTGCAGTAATTCACAAAGGATTCTTAACGTTAGGACTTAAAAGCATTTATTTATGTGGTGAAAAGCTTAAAATAGTTCCTTTCCTGTTTTTATTACAATTAAAGTTTTTAATTAAAGTGGTAAGTAAAGAAGGTTTTTTATTTCTTAAGTACACATTTTAACTG